AAACCTGAAAGTTATCAAGAAGCCATGGAAAGTGAGCAGAAAATGGAGTGGCTTAAAGCCATGAAGGATGAGATGAAATCTTTGCTTGATAATCATACCTTTGATTTGGTTAAGTTGCCAAAAAATAGGAAAGCTTTGAAGAATCGATGGGTTTATAGGGTGAAACATGAATATGGCACCTTGGTTCCACGGTATAAAGCTAGACTTGTTGTTAAGGGCTTTAGTCAGAGAAAGGGTGTTGATTTTAGTGAGATCTTCGCTCCGGTTGTTAAAATGTCTTCAATCAGAGTTGTGTTGGGTTTAGCAGCATGTCTTGATTTGGAGGTTGAACAAACGGATGTGAAGACTGCTTTTCTCCATGGTGATTTAGATGAGGAGATTTATATGGAGCAACTAGAAGGTTTTAAAGTCAAAGGCAAAGAGAATTTTCTGTGCAAATTGAAAAAGAGCTTGTATGGCCTGAAACAAGCTCTCAAGCAGTGGTATAGGAAGTTTGAATCTGTTATGAGATAGCATGGATATAAAAAGACTTCTGCAGACCATTGTGTCTTTGTGAAGAAATTTTTTGCTAATGACTTTGTTATTTTGTTGCTTTATGTTGATGACATGCTTATTGTTGGTCAAAATGCTTTTAGGATCAAGAAGTTGAAGCAAGAATTGAACAAGTCTTTTGCTATGAAAGACTTAAGACCAGCAAAATAGATTCTTGGCATGATGATTAGTCGTGATAGGGCATTCAGGAAGTTGTGGTTATCACAAGAGAAGTACATTGAAAGAGTACTTCAAAGGTTTGAAATGGACAAGGTTAAGGTGGTCAGTACTCCTTTAGTTATTCACTTCAAACTAGGCAAGAATCAATGTCCTTCTAATGATGATGAGAAGGAAGATAGGCAGATGGTTCCTTATGCATCTGTAGTGAGTAGTTTAATGTATGCAATGGTTTGTATAAGACCAGATATTGCTCATGCAGTGGGTTTGGTTAGCCGTTTTCTTTCAAATCTAGGGAGAGAACATTGGAATGCAGTGAAGTGGATTATGAGATATCTTTGGGGCACTTCGAGTTTGAGTCTTTGTTTTGGAGTATGAGAGCCTATTCTTTTAGGATATACTGACTCAGACATGGCTGGGGATATTGATACAAGGAAATCTACTTCGGGTTATCTAATTACCTTTGCAAGGGGAGCTGTGTCTTGGCAGTTAAGGTTACAAAGATGTGTTGCACTTTCTACCATTGAAGCAGAGTTTATAGCAACTGTTGAAGCTTGCAAAGAGTTGCTCTGGATGAAGAGATTTACTCAGGAACTTGGGCTTGCTCAAAAGAGGTATGTAGTTTATTGTGATAGCTAAAGTGCAGTTCATTTAAGTAAGAACTCTACATTCCATGGTAGGTCAGAGCATATTGATGTTAGATACCATTGGATTAGAGATGTCCTAGATTCTAAGTTGCTTGAACTTCAGAAAATTCACATTGATGAGAATGGGTCGGATATGATGACCAAAGCTTTGCCAAGAGGGAAGTTTGAGGCATGTTGCTTGATCGCTGGAATGGCAATCTCCTCCACATAGTCGGGAGGGGGAGAATTGTTGGGTTAGGCCTATCCCTCCTATGTGGAGAAATTGCCAATATTTGTGGACTAAGCCCACACTTGTTAAGCCCACTTGAAGCCACATTTTGCAGTCCTTTAAGACAAAAAAAGGAGTCTGATTTGGACAGCAGAAAGTGGAGAACACGTGAGGGACTAGCCGGCATAAAAGGGAAAAGAAAGCAGGGGAGGATGTACAGTGCACAGTTTTGCAACTTTGTCCGATCCGAAAAGTTCAACGTTGGATTAAGCTGAAATTTGGTCTGGGGGTTTACAAGACTTTGATCTACAATCTGAACGGTTAGTTTTTCGTTTGGAGTTTTGTAGGTTCAGTTCTTGTGCCTTGAACAGTAGCTCGTATTTTGGTGCTCTATTTTCTTGTGGCCCCTTTTTGACTTTGTTGGTTTGTGGCCTATTGTTCCTCTTATTTTGTGCTGTTTTTGTGCCCTTTTAGAAGAAGAGGATATTATGTACTCACTTTTATCATAGTGGAGTTATTTTGAGTGGAATGGATGTCCCATGGTTTTTACCCAATTTTGGGGTTTTCTACTTAAAATATTTGTGTCTCTTGTGTGGTTGCTTTGCCTTGGCTATTTTTACTATTCTGCATATTTTTAGTTGCTGCCATAATTTATTTGGACTCAATTTAACTTGCTCCTAACAATTCAAATAGATTGGGGAAGATTTTGGTGTTGCTTTTGTTTCCGCTGTGGTCAGGTGACACCCCGTTCTTCCCAACAAGTGGGATAAGTAAAAGCTAGGTGGTGGTGAGTCCATGCAGAAGTTACTAAGCAATAGTCAGATCCTTGCACAAATAGAGGGGGTGCAGAAATTGCAGAGTGAAAGGTTGAGAAGAAGGAATCAACTTATAGGACAATGACAAAAATTATGATAGTAGAACTGAGACACAAAAGAAACCATGCACAGGCAAAAATAACTTTGTTTTCCCGGAACAACAAAGTCTGATTTTTATTTGTTTATTTGCTATTGGGACTGGGGAGAGAGAAGTGGAGATACTAAGAGATCTATATTGCTTGAACCTTAATCTATCAGTTTAAACTTTCAACACACTCTCTGTCACGGTATTAGACCCTGACTGGCATGAAATCCAGTGTTTGAATTATGACTGATCTCATTTTATAGTGGATTCTGCCACACAGTCTAGTTGGTGAGACCAGTACCTAGAGTCCTCGACCACTAGTGAGGATGTGCTATACGCTATATGTTAGCTGAGACTTTTACTGTTTCCTTAAAACTCAGGTTTGACATTATTCTTATTAGTTGGGGATTGTTTCTGAGGCCAAGCTCTTACGTGGTTTTCCATTTAAGTCCTCTGTCAACTAATTTGCACCAGCATTGTTGTTAGTCCACTTGTTGCATTTTTGTTGTGCTGGTGTCGGTTTACCTTTTTTTTTTTCCCAATTTTTTGTCGTTCACTATAACAGTTTTCGATTGCTGACTGAACTGGACTGATGATCACACTTGAAGGTGATGCCGAACTTGAACTGGTGGATTCTCTGTATACTTTCTCTGAAGGTGTTGTTTTCAGTGTCAGACCACAAAGAAGAGCTGGCAGAATATTGCTATCTTATCCGGTGGTGCAAAAGGTTATCGTCCTTGTCATTGGCAGTCCGTTTGTTAATGCGAAACTTGCTTTACCTGATCCTTTTTCTTTATTATACTTCAAATTCTGGGTTATTAACATATGCTTCGTTACTGCTTGCAGGCTCTTAGCTCATTAGCACTTGTTTTTGCTCTTCACCATTACAAGCCAACCCTACTCTATGTCATGGGCGAAATTGATGCAGCTCTTGGTACACTTTTTGAACCATGAACCATTTTCTTTTTCTTTTCTTATAATATATGTGTATACTTCCCTTCTTCTATCCTCAGTCACCAAAATTTATTGGTTACTATGGTGTTTCAGACTTCAAGAATGTTTCTATAGTTGGACATTATGCGAAGGACTGAACAAAAGATGCACAGTTTATACTAATAAGGTGTGTTTGGTCTCTCAGGTTTTTCTTTTATCATTGCTAGGTACCGTCTGTACTGAATCTGTTTTCCCTGTAATTCCTTGATTTCCTTGCAGCCCTAGGAATAACATGTTTGAATTGGCTGATCTACTTGTTGGGATCTACAAAACTGATAATTGTACCAAAAACATTACCATCAATCCAGGCAGTTTTGTGGTGTGTGAAAACGCTGCTTGATGCTTGCGGGTTTCATCTTTTGAAGTGAGGTTCCATGCTACTGTTATTTTCTTTTGTACTCCAATCATTGATTTGGTGATTATTGGATCATCACAACTCACCTGTGTCTAATCCATAGGAAATATGAAGACCTCTTTGTTAAATGGTCAAATTCTACGTGCAAAGCAGGAAAAAACTAATCCTGTTTTGTGTATGATCGGCTCATTGCTGATTTTGTTGTCAAAAACAACAGGAACTAAGTGCACATTTATATGATTTAATGTATCCTTTGCTTTGCCAAAAACAAACCAGTGTTTGCACAAGTTTCTTGACTATCTTACTTTTTCCTACGTTGTCCTCAGTTATTAATTATCATTACAACATTTATTCTGACTTATCTACATGCCATCTGTAAAGGAAAGCAGCATGCAAGAACGAGAGGATGCCGGGAGACGTCGGGAGGATATTGTTTCTTTTTTGACCATGGAAAAAGTTAAGAGCCCTTAAAAGTCGTTCTAGTTGATCTGTTAATTGCTGAAGTAGGAAGTTAGAGAATTTTGTTGAATATAGAATGGATTATTGTCCTTTCCTTCTAGGTTGATTATTTTGAGAAGCAAATGCGTAAGCGGATCTGTCGGTTTTGACTTTTCCGCCTTAAATGGAAAGATTTTTAAGCTTTTGATTTGAATCCATGAAAAAGCATTTCATTGACATATATATATATATATATATATACACACGCGTCAAATGAGCTATAAAAAAATTTAAATTTTTAAATGTAAGTGATTTATCTGTAAATTTTAATATGTTTAAATTAATTAATTTTTGAATCTCATTTATTTTAAAATTTTTTTATTTTTTTAATCTCTCAAATTATAAATTGTTAAAAAAAAAACCCCTATTAAAAATTATAATTTTTTATTCCTTTAAAATTTTATTTTTCATTTAATTTATAATTTAAATTTTAAATTTTTATTTTATAATTTAATATAATTTAAATTATAAAATATTAAACTTTATTTTTGAAGTAACTCTTTAATTATTGGGCAGTCTGAGTTTGAACATTCAACCTCTCGCTGTCCAATTGCTGAAACAGGGAGCCAGCCTTGACTAATGGCGTTATGGTTCAAAGATTCAATTCTATCTTTTCCAACTTTCGTGAATGGATTTATCGACTCAAAATTTAGTGAGTCTTTGGCTCGTAGAACTTTTTAACGCCTGACCTGACGAGTTAAAAGATATTATTTATATTAGTTTTTTCTTTTCTTTTTTAGGTGAAATTTTCATTTTTATATTTTAAAGAGTTTCATGCCATTGACTCAAAATTTAGTTGGTTTATATATACATATAATAAGGATTTATTTATATATAAATTTTATATATTATAATTATATAAAATTTTAATTTTTAATTTTTAATAGGAGTTATTTATTTTTATTATAATTATTAAATATAATTATTTTTTTATCTAAAAAGTTATGATAAATTCAACCATTGAAAATAAAAATAAAAATAATTAAGATTTTATATAAACATGATATGTGACATTTATATGTAAATAAATTCTTATTTATATATTAATTCATATATAATTCCATTATTTTGCGTTAAATTTTGGTATTCTTATTCATGAGATACAGTGCCTAGTGATTAAGAAGACTAGTTTAACCAAATAAAATGGTTACTGTGCCTATCGGTTATAGCATGGGTAGCTGATGTTGTAAATTAATT